AGCTCTCCCTTGGCTTAACTGGGGATCTGGAGCTCTCCCTTGGCTTAACTGGGGATCTGGAGCTCTCCCTTGGCTTAACTGGGGATCTGGAGCTCTCCCTTGGCTTAACTGGGGATCTGGAGCTCTCCCTTGGCTTAACTGGGGATCTGGAGCTCTCCCTTGGCTTAACTGGGGATCTGGAGCTCTCCCTTGGCTTAACTGGGGATCTGGAGCCCTTCCTGGGCTTAACGGGGATCAGGAGCCCTCCTTGGGCTTAACAGGGGATCAGGAGCCCTCCCTGGGCTTAACGCGGGGATCTGGAGCCAACACTGGAGCCTGCGAGCCTGACTCGGGAACGGCCGGTGGGCTTGATTTCCGCAGGCCGGCGGGCCTATCTTCGGAGTGGCCGGCAGGCAGGAAAGAGCCGCGGCCGGCAGGCTTGACTGAGGAACCGCCGGCGGAGGGGTCCTGGATCGGGATCGGAGGCTCACTGGATGACTGCCTCCTTCCAGTCAAGGTTGGTGGTGTCTGGGAGCTCCGCGGGGCGATGGTAAGTCACCCCGAGCCGGAACAGCGTCACGAGGGCTTCCCCGTCGAGGGAGCTGGTGAGGGCGAGCAGCACGAACACCCTTGCGTAGACGATCGGGTTGGGGCTCGCCTGAGCCACGGCGATGAACCTCGCTCGTTCCTCCATATGAGCAGGGAGAAACGAACGGCAAAACAAAACACTTTTAAAAACAGAGAAAAAGGCGCCGCTTACTTTCAGTTTTGGGTCCGCTGTTCTGTCACGCTTCACGAGGGAGGAACGTGGAGACGCTGGAGAATACGTGAACTAGAATTGAATTCAATAAACAAAGGGATACAAATACTGAAACTTATGAATGACATTTAACAGCGGACGGGAAACAAGGGGCAGAACACACTATAAATACACAGACACCAATGGGACACACCTGGGAGCAAATTAACTAATTAATCAAACACAGCTGGATACGAATTCACACAGCGAGGACAGGAACAGGAAAGACCAAATAAGGAAAACAGGAACTCAACAGGAACATACACGTGACACAATTACCCTCCAAATAGGGCTATAGGAATTGTATTTGCAATTTTCCTCTAAAATTTAATTTACACCAAAAGTTTGCCGTTAAATGTACATTGGTCTTCCCGTTCAAAAATGATCAGTCACATTTATAGAAAGACATTAACATTAAAAGTAACCTGTCATTTTAAATTGTCATGATGAGAAAAGTAATATAAAAGAATGTGACATTAATAGAGTTTTGAAGAGCCAAGTTGAAGTTCAAAAGTTTTTCATGCTTAGGATTGTGTATGACATCCTGCATGTTTTTTTTTTGTTTTTTTTTTTTACATTTTACTTGATGCAGAACTAAAATGTGAAATGATACATGTTTCCAGTACTTAGTGTCTACACATCCTGATACACAAGATACAACTCATAAAAAACACGACTGATCTTCTGAAGTAAGACTATTATTACGTACTATAACAGTCACAATTCTCCCTCCACTTTCCATTCAAACCACTAAGCTGCAAAAAAGGGTCATTCAGAAATCATATACTGAAATCACCAAGAGCACATTAATGTGTGACCACCTACGTTTACATATTCAGTGTCAGTACTAATGCAGTAAGCCCCAAGAAGCTGTGCTTTACAGTGATTTTAGAACAGCTAAGAGACAGTATTAGGCATGATGCAGTGGAGTACATATAAAAATAAAAAAATTTAAATGCTACAGAATTGTACCTACTGTAAATGTATGAAACATAACTGACCTTCCTTTTTATATTCTTATGTTTTTGAAGGCTTGAAAAACTATGTACAAAGTTCTAGTTATTTATAATTATACACTGTTATTTTAAAACACTAAGAGTGTTTAATAACATGCTTATTTCTTTTTATCTTTTGTAGGGTTCCATCACTCCCTCCCTTCCTCGCCCTACACTGCAGAGCCCGAAGGTCACAGGTTACCACCCTCAGGGACGTTATCATCAGAATTCTTGAATCTGGGTGGTTCTCCAAAGATCCTTCTGTTAATCTGCAATGTTGCTGGGTCTGGCCAACAAGCTACAAGGTAACTAAAGCACTACATATTAAAACAAATGTTACAGAAGGAACCCTCTAAGTTTCTAAGTTTCCAAATCATTTTGTCAACGAAACCCCAAATTGTTTACCTGAGATTTCAAGAAATGTTTGAACCCATTCAGTGGACCCTTTGATGGACAGTGAGACAGAGATGTGACTTCTTTACATATTGTTTATAATGTAGTGGTACTTTTTAAGCCTGGCCTATAATATTGTGTAAAATACCAGGTTCATTTATTTTCTTACTTTAAAGGCACAATATGTAAGATTTTTTTATTAAAATATCCAAAAACCACTAGAACAGTGTTATATATTTTGCTGACTTGTGTACTTACATTATCCCAAATGTTTAAATCCAGAGAAATAAGCAATTTTAACTAGTGACACAGACCGTGTCCATAGTGTCATTGTGTCGCCTGCCAATGACGTCATAACCCCTCGATTTCCATTTTTCCGTTTTGTTTTGTAGAAAACATGGAAACACCAAAGACGCTTTAGTATGTTGTGCGTTTTAATAGACCGTTGACGACCGCACAGAGTAGCATTATAACAGAATTTTTAAATGTATCTAGTATGATAAACCAGTGCTGCTTTTTTTTCCCCCACATACGCACGACCGGAAAGAGCGGAAGCGGTCGACTGTGGCATAATAAAAGCTCCGCTGCTTTCGAGCCGTGTGTCACGCTCGTTCAGCGGCATCGTTTCGCTTCGACACCTTTCAGCCTCACCCTGCTTCATTCTACTACGTTAATAAATCATTAGCTCATCCATGAACATGATTTCTGCCCGAGTCCCGTCGGATTGCATCGGCTGTGGGGATGAAGACAACAACTCCCATGAATCCAGACTCAGTCACGGCGTCATCAAACTACGCTTTTGTCTATTTGTTTATTTTGAATATGCGCCCTCTAGTGGCGAAAATTACATATTGTGCCTTTAAGATGCTTGCTCTACATTGGAAGGCCATTAAACAATATTATTATATTTTAATATTGTGTTTTTGTTTAAAGTATTTGGTTTTCCACAAAAAATTGTTTGCAGTGCTGCCATTAACCCCCTTGAAGACGTGTTAATAAATACAATAAACAAATTCATTCATTCGTGTGTTTGTTAAATATATAATAAATGATTCCATTTTATATGTAATAATAGAAAATTGTTTATATGTAATAATAAAAATTGTTTGTTTTACCCATTTACAAATATACATTAATTTTATTTGGAAAATGTAAGTAATTTATTAAGAATTTCCAATTAAAAAAAATACAATGTGAAGCAGATTCATAACGCATAGAAGCATAACGCTGTAGCATTTAGTCCTTTGCTATAGTTGTTTGTTCCCGCAGAACATTACCATGCGATTAAAAGACCATTTAAAATCCAGGTCTTTTTCGCATTTTAAAGATCCAGTATTCCAAATGTACTGTTCTATGAGTCAAGTGATTCATTGAATATTATTTTTTAGACCTACTGCTACAAGAGACAATTCAAGATGCACAAATACATTCATTCATACAAGTCTGATCAGTCAACTCTGTCAGAATCAATAATCCAAGTCAGTAAACTGCAGCACAGGAATCATCTTGCATGCTCCACCTACAGCTGCACTGATCGCCTGGACTCTGGGGAGTGCTGCATCTTGCACAGTCTTCGTCACTAACCTCTAGCTGTCAATCAGAGCTGCACACAGTCTCTTTCTCTCACTCATGGACACAGAGCTTTGGGTGGAAACAGATGACGGGTATTCCCCAGAAACACTTATAAATGTCAAGATGACATTTTAGGGCCTAAAGAAGAGAGGAGAGAAAGCGAAAGAAAGTGTTTGTGTACTGCACCTTAATGGCAGATGCCTGCAGCCTCTGGCCCACATTTGGTAGAGAAGTTCAGGGGCGGTTCTAGACCAAAGTAACTGCTTTTAGGGGGCACAATTTTAAAATTCATCTTAACCTACTTTAAGTATTATTCATTCATAAAATAAAATCATCACAGAAAATGTTAATGGTTTCCACTACAAATAACCATTACAAACATTACAAACCATCAACTTTTAACCATTAAAACCATTAACTAATGTTTTCCTGTAGTGTTTTGGGACATATTTCATTAGGATTTAGTGGTTTTGACAAAAGCCACCGGTAGAAACCAATAGGCACGATTACAGTTTCCATTAAAAACAATACAATTTTCATTATAACCAGTAAAACCATTACAAATTG